GGGCCAAGGGCAGACAGTTTGAGAATATGCTTGATGTAGACTATGCTTATCATTTTGTTTTATCCAGTTATAAAAGTGTGTTTATTAAAGAGTATTATATGCTGTTACCAATTATTTTTAAAAATGCTGAAAAAAACCTTAGTGAGTGTGTATGTGTGGGCATATATTATCATTCAAAAACAGCTATTAATATTTGTCCTATTTCACTTTAATTATTTTTAAATCAACTTTATTGAGATGTAATTTACATAAAATAATTCATCAATTTGAAGTGTTGGATGCGTTTTGACAAATGTGTGCTCCCTTGTAACGTCTGTCATGATCAAGTTAATATATATTTTTATAATTTTTTGTGTACTTGTGTACAGTTTTAGGTTCATGTAACCAACACCACAGTCAGACTATAGAACGCTTCCATAACGCCGGAATATTCCGATGTGTTGTCTCTTTGTGGTCAAACTTTTCTTCACCCCAAGCCTCTGGCAACTAATACTCTGTTCTCCATCCCTGTAATTTTGCTTTTTCCAGAATGTCATATAAATGGAATCATACGGTATGTAATCTTTTGAGGCTGGCTCCATTCCCTCACTGTAATGCCTTTGAAATTCATTCATGTTGTTGTGTGTGTCATAGTAACTGAGTGTTGTTCCATCATGTGGATGTACACTGTTCATTCACCCTTTGAAGGACATTTGGATTCTTTCCAGGTTTTGATGATTAATAAAGCTGCAGTAAACATTCACATGCAGATTTTTGTATGAACGTAGCTTTTCATTTCTCTAGGGTAGATACCTCGGAGTGGAATTGCTGAGTCTTGTGGTAAATGTAGGTTTTTTGTAAGAATGTGCCAAACTCTTATGCAGAATGGTTGTGCCATCTTGCATTCCCAACAGCCCAGTATGAGAATTCCATTTGGTCCTCATCCTCATCAGGATTTGGTAAAATTTTAGCCCATTCTGATAGGTGTGTAGTGGTATCTCATTGTAGTTCTAATTTGCATTTTCCTAATAGCTAAAGATGTTGAAAATCTTTTCTTGTGCTCAGTTATCATCTGAATATCTTCTGTGAAGTTACTGTTCCGGTCTTTTGCCTGTTTTTTCCTTCTTTCTTGGGTTGTTTTCTTACAGTTACATTTTAAGAGTTATGATTCTAGTTAGAATTTGTATGTTGGATATGTGATTTGCAAATATTTTCTCCCATTATGTAGCTTGTCTTCTTCTCTTAACACTGCATTTTTCAGAGCAAAAGTTTTAAGTTTTGATGCAGCCCAAATTACTGATTAAAAAAAAATCTTTTTCTGGATTCATGCCTTTGGTGTTACATCTAAGAACTCTTACTAGCTCTAGGTCACAAAGATTTTCTCCTCTGTGTTCTTCTAAAACTTTTATGATTTTATGCTTTACATTTAGCTCTGTGATCAAATTTGAGTTAATTCTTTTTAAGGTATGAGGTTTAGGTTGAGGTTCATTTATTTTGTAAATCAGTGTCCAGTTGTTCCAACACCATTTGTTGAAAATGAAAAGACTATCCTTTCTCCATTGAATTGTCTTTGCAGCTTTGTCAAAAATCAAAGACAATTGGCCATTATTTGTGTGGGTCTATTTCTGTATTCTGTTTCATTGAATTCTTTTTCACAATGTTTTCACTCATCTAGTTCTTTTACTGTTCCAAATAAATTTTTTTTTTTTCCAAATAAATTTTATAATCAGCTTGTCTCTATCTGCCAAAAATCCTGCTGGGATTTTGATTGGAATTGTGTTGAATCTATAGATTAATTTGGAGAGAATTGACATGTTTGTTATACTCAGTCTTCCATTCCATGAATTTGGTGTTTTCACTTATTTAGGTCTTCTTGATTTCATCAACATTTTGTAGTTTTAAGCATGCTTAATGTTTTATTACATTCATACTTAGGAATTAATTCTTTTGGAGCTTTTATAAATGGCATTTAAAAAAATTTCAGTTTCCAGTTATTTGTTGCTAGTATATTGAAATATGATTGATATTTGCATGTTGACTTTGCTAAATTCACTGATGAGTTCTGGGAACTTTTTTGTAGATTCCTCGGAGTTTTCCACATAGATGATTATATCATCTGCACATAGGGATGGTTTTATTTCTTCCTTTCCAATCCCGATGCCCTGTATTTTTTTCCCTTTGCCGTATTGCTCTGTCAGAGCTTCGAGTACAGTGTTGAATGGGAATTGTGAGAGGAATTATCCTTTCCTATTCTGGATGTTAGGAGAGTAGCATTCAGTTTTCATCTTTAATTAAATGTGTTTTTTGTAGATCTATGGGTTTTTTGTAGTTACCTTTTAGCAGATTAAGGAAGTTTCCTTTAATTCCCAGTTTGCTGAGTTTTTATCTTAAGTGGCTGTTGGGTTTTGTCAAATGCTTTCTCTCCATTAATTTATATGATCACACACACACACACACACACACACATATATATATATATATATATATATTTTATTGAGGTTCTGATAGTTTACAACATTGTGAAATTTCAGTTGTACATTATTATTAGTCATCTTACAGGTGTACCCCTTCACCCTTTGTGCCCGCTCCCCACCTCCCTTCCCCCTGGCAACCACTAAATAGTTCTCTTTGTCCATGTGTTTGTTTATCTTCCACATGTGAGTGGAATCTTACAGGATCACATATATTTTTTCTTCTTCAGTCTTGTAGTATGGTGGATTATATAGATTGACTTTTGAGTTGAATAAGCCTTGCATTCCTGGGATAAACTCCACTTACTATGTATTAATCTGTTTTTTCAACTTGCTAAAATTTAGTTGAGGATTTTTGTGTCTGTGTTTATGAAGGATTTAGTCTGTAGTTTTCTTGTAATGTTTTTGTCTGGTTTGGTATCAGTGTGATGCTGCCCTCATAAAATGAAGTAGGAAAGTTCCTGCATCTTCTGTTTTCCAGAAGAGATTGTGTAGAATTGGTATTATTTCTCCTTTAAATATTTTAAATTATTATTTTTCAAATATTTTTTCTGTACCACACTCTTCTATTTTTCTGGGACTCTGATGAAGTTAGACCTTTTGATATTGTCTCAGAGGTCCCTGAGGCTCTGTTAATTTTTTTGTCTACTTTTTCTATTGATTAATAGTAGTTGACTTTAAAAAATGAAGTGTAATGTACACACAGGAACACACTCAGATCACGTGTGAACAGTTCAATGAATTAGCAAAAAATTAACATGCCCATGTTACTATAACCCAGGACAAGAAATGGAACAATATCATCACCCTAGCAGTCCCCATCATGGCTCCTCCCAGTCACTACCCACCTTTCCTCTCCAGGGATGACCATTATCCTGGACTAGTTTCAAGTCCTCTCCTAGCCTGCGGGTCTGTCATTCTCATTAGAACAGTGTTGGGGGGGGGTGGTCTTTTTTCATGGAGCAGGGAATCAAAGATATGGAAGCAGAACTTGGTGGGGGGAGGCATAGGATTTTTGAAAAACATTTAGCTATTTAAACACGGTAATATAAAAGTGCTAGGAAATAGCTTTATGGTATAGGCTAATGTCTGTTCTTGGAGTTAGGTTAGCCTGCTTCAGAAGTTTGCTGCATGGTCCAAACCAGAGAATCAGGTGTTTTCTGTAGGCAGTGAGGTTTCCTTGACAGATCGTGGTCACTGGAGTCAGACAGAGCAGGAGACGAACCCCAGCTCGTGTGCTAGTGGGGTGATTTTTACTCGTGAGTATAGTGGGGGTAATACCCAGAGTTTTAGTGATGGAGATATTGTATATAAAGTACCTAGCTGAGCGTTGGTTACATAGTAGCATCTTGGTAAATATCGGTTCTCTTAATCTGTTCTGTTTCCTCTCCAACTTTTTAATTTGACAAATTTCAAAGCTGTGCAAAAGTTGCAAAACAGTACAACAAAGAACCGTTATGTTCTTTCTCTAGATTCATCAATTAATGTCTTGCTGCATTTGCTTTCTCTCTTTTTCCTCCCTCCCCACTCATTGGAGAGTTAGTTGCAGACACCATGACGACACCCTTAAGTACTTCAGTACAATGACGTGCCTTAAGTACGACACCCTTAACTACTTAAGCATGTTTCTCTTACTTAGGACATCCTCCTACAAAATCGTACCTAATATAAAGTTGTTATTCAAATTCCCGCAGTTACCCCATGTAGCTTTAAAAAAATATTCAAGATTCACTGTACGATTTCATTGTACTTAGTAGTCATGCTCTCTTACTTCCATTTATTTGGAGGAGTTCCCCAACCATTTTTGCCTTAAGATTGTTAAGATTTTTGAAGAGTCCAGACCTGTTGTTTGGCAGAATGTCCTTCAATTAGGATTTGTCTGATTGACAACTCTTGATTAGATGCAAGTTAAAAGTTGGGGCATTTTCACCTTTTAAATGAAATTGTTTACTTTCAGTGATTTGTTTTAGGAGGCACATGATGTCGGTGTGTCCCACCAGTGGGGATATTAAATATATTCTCTTAAGGGGGTGTCTGCTAGGTTTCTAAATTGTAAAGATGCCTTTTCTTTTAGTAATTAATAAGCCACCTTGGGAGTGTTATCTTGAGACTGTGTGCTCCAGTGACCTTTCTTCTAGTGCTTTTAGCCTTGATGTTCTTTCCTGAATCAATTATTACTATAGTGGTTGTATAATGGTGATTTTCTGTTATTATTATTAGTCTACATTTATTAACTGGATTTCTTTTGTAAAGAAGAGAGTCCCTTCTTCCTTTCCTTTTCTTTCTATCTTTACTTATTTATTTATCAGTGTGCAGTCACAGATTCTTTGTTCACTCAGTCATTATTCATTCCAGTGCTCAGATTGTCCTAAATTTGGCTGGTGGGAAGCACTTAATTCTGGATTGGCACAGTTATAGGAAAGGTCAGCTTTCCCTAGTATTTAACATTTCCCTCCATTTGTAGCCTTGGAAGCTATGGGCATTGGAAGTCTAGGCAGGTAACATCCCTTAGACCTTACTTTTGATAATCCTTCTGAACTTATTTTCCAGCAAATCACTGAATTGAAGAAAGAAAACTTTAACCTAAAGCTCCGCATCTATTTCCTCGAGGAAAGAATGCAACAGGAATTTAATGGCCCCACCGAACATATCTATAAAACTGTGAGTGTCCCGCTTCCCACTGCCGTCCCTGGTGTCTTTTCTCATAGTCTTTCCAAGCAGAAATTTGGTTAATGTTTGTTCTCAGGGTTTGCACGAATAGACAGAACTGCTTTCGTTTAGTTTGAATTGATTATAGGGAGCATAATAACAGGATGACCTTAATATTAAACAAAGAGAGAGGATTAATTTTAAGGGAGTCTTTCTTTCTTTTTAAAATCAGAATTCTGATTTATTATACCTCAGTTGCGTTTTTCTGATTATTTATGATTTAACGTCTTTGGAATTGAATCCTACCATTAACAACTACTTGTGTAACTCGAGGCAAGTCCCTTCAGCGCTGCGGGCTCGCTCCCCGAGTTCAGTGATAATCCCTCTGTCCGGGGTTGTTGGTGTGGGTTAAAATGAGGTGGCAGATGAAAAGCCCCAGCACACAGTCAGTGCTTGACGGTTATCATCGTTGTCTTGTTGAGGCTTCCATTGGCAGCCCAAAGTTAGGATCGTCAGTTTTTCTGTGATACGACTCTTCTGTATTCCTTGTGTCCTTGCTTACAACTGTCAAGAAAAAAGTCTATTCCCATCTGAAGTCTTGACCTGGAGGTCTCTGCCCGAAAACAAACCTTGGTTCTGAAAGTTGAAAAAAGAGCTTGGCTTTCTTGCGAAGACATGAGTACAAACAATATTTCAGTGCCCATTTCTTGGCTTTCTCCAGTAGATTAGCCCTTGGCCTGGGAATTATTCCATCTTTTCTCTTCTGAAGTTTGTACCAGTGGAAAATTTTGAAGGAGGAAAAAGAACTCTCCTCGAGTTTCACCAGATGAACTGAAATGGACTTGTCTTGAAGACGGATTGTACTGTACTTCTGAGCATTTTCAAGAATTGAAAAGCTCCCTTGTCCTTCAAAACACAGTTTTTTTCCTTCAGTGTGGGGGTGGAAAGACAAGGAGGATGTCCCCTTTTCTGGAAGGGAGGGGGTGATGAAATCACAATTTTAAAGAGAAACCAATAGCCTGAAACATTTTATTTGTGTAAGTACAGTTGTCATGCGTCTCAGAACTTCTAGGGTGATAGGAAGCCAAAACGTATTAATTGCTTCCTTGGTGTCAGGCCCTGTCCCGGGCATTTGTACATTCCTCATCTTATTTTAATTCTCAAGACAGCCCTGTGCAGTGAGATTATCCTCATCTTGCAGGAGAGGACTCGGAAGCTCAGGGAAGATCAGTAACTTGCTTGATGTCGTATAGCTACTGTGTGAGGTGGATTTTGAACCCGAGTCTGCCTACCTCGTTGTACTGTGCTGTTTCCGGCATTCCTTTCCACTGTCTGATTAGATGACGTGATTTAATTGCACTTTTATTTCAATTTAAGCTTTTTGATAGGCATACATGGTTCAAAATTCAAAAAGCATGAAAAGTATACACTGGAAAGACTTTCCTCCCGTCTCTTAGTCTTCTTGATCTGATCAATATTATTCCTTACACAGAGAAATTTTATGTGTATACAAGCAAGTGTGTGTGTATGGGTATAAACCCCCTTTTTACCTCAGTGCAAGCATGTTCTGTTCTGTACCTTGCATTTTTCCTTAACAATATCTTGGATATCTTTCCTTAATAGTAGTTTCAGGTCATTCTTTTTTATAATGATGTTGTATTTTATGCTTATAAGGTATCTTGATTTTTGGTTTGGAAATTATGATCGCCATGTGTATAAGTTTTTAACTTGAGGTATTGGGCTTGAGCAAAAATAGTCTAGTGGACATGTTAGCTGTCCATTCTTTTAAATTTGCTAAGTTGGGGTGCCAGTTGGCTTATCAGAAAGCAAAGCAATTAGAATATATTTTATTAGCTTTTACGTAGAAGCTCTCTGTCCTTCTGGAAGCTGGAAAAGGAATCCTCTCTTTGAAGGATATTTCTGCAATTTCACAAAACCACACTTGAAAGCCTTGTGCACTGTCACTCAGTGTCCTTTAGCAAAGCTCAGTGTCTTCTAGAAGAAGTTCTGCCGCATGAATGACTTCTCTAGTTCCTGTTGTTTGACAGTGAAGAAAACACTTGTTGAGCCCTGTCTCCTAGACTTTTCTCGTTCATTAGCTCACATGGTCCTCAAATCCCCCATGTCAGGTGGACCTTATGTTTTTCATTTGACTCTTGAGGGATCTGGAAGGGGAACACTTGCTTTCTCACCTCCTCGACTTAGATTTCAAGGCTAATTACAGGCTCACACTTCCAGTTCATTTCTGATGTTCGCATGAGGCAAGGGCTGTGTCTGCCTTGTTTACACAGCGCCCTGAGAGCCTCGCCCAGTGCCTGGCCTGTCACAGGCAACTGTGAATGTCTGTGAAGTGGAGGAAAGAATCATTGAGCATCCACTGCCTTACTACGGTTTCCTGCTGGTGAAGAGTGGAGGCAGAATTTGAACCCATGTCCTTCTGGTCCCAAGCCCATGACCTTTCCATCCTGGCTGACTTCTCAACCTGGGGTACTCATTCCCTCGGGGCTGCTTGGCAGAAAGGAGGGAGGCGTGTCCCCTGAGATTGTAAATTTTACTGGAAATGCTATTTTTATTTAAAATAATACACATATATTATGGAATAGGATGTAAAATGGGCATTAATTATTAAAATAAAACAGGAGCAAAATTTCAGAGAAGTCTTGGATTTACAGGACTTCTCTGCAAGCTACGCACCCAGACCCCGTCTCTGCTACATGAATTCGTCTAATATTCCACCCAGGATACATTTGTGGACAGGGTTGAGAAGCCCACTGCTGTGCCACTGTCTCGCATTGCAATCCATTTGCCAAAGAGTCTGTTTGTGGATCCTCTTGTGAGTTCTAAGCCCAAGGCCATGAGTGACTCCCTTCGTTCCAGTCAGTTAAGAGGAAGACGGTTGGAGAACACTGTGGCGTCCCTTACAGACAGCCTGCCCCGTGTGGTTGTGGCTGTTTTGTAAGTGGCTACCCTGAAATGAGACAGGCAGTGATGCGGCCTCCCACTTCCCCATCCACACGTTTCATTGTTTTTAAGCTGCGACACATTCCCAGCGCTACAACCACCACATGCGTGATTGTAAACGACCAGAAGTAATTGCCTGGGAATGGTGAAGGCAAACTGCAGAATTGCTTGTAAATTTGCTTGGCGGAGGGCAAACAGCTTTTACATCAGCCTCCCTTGTATGACATTTATGCCTCGATGTTTGAGTGCTCTGGCTGTTAGAAGCCTGGAAAATTTACATAATTGTTCCAAGTCTGGAGAAATCTGGGGCTTTCTTTTGAGACCACCAGTGTTTAATAATTCCCTTTTCCCCGTGCCCTGAGGCTAATGAGGGTTTGAATCTAACATCTGCCTATTACAAGCTTCGGGGAGTCCGTCGGCGCTGAGAGCGGTTTCCCCACTGTAGACGTTTGTGTGTCCTGTCTCTTATGCTGTTTCTGTTCTTTCCTCATCTTGCCTGGAAGAACATCGAGCTCAAGGTGGAAGTAGAAAGTCTGAAGCGGGAGCTCCAGGAGAGAGAGCAGCTGCTCATCAAAGCCTCGTGAGTATTGTCATCCTGTCACGAGCTTGTGGGTCGCCCAGGGGTTCTGACGCGGAGGCCAGATGGGTCAGTGAAAGAGAGCCTTGTGCTTTCTAGGCCAGTTGTTCTCCAGGGAGCTTTGAGGGCCCCAAGGAGGTTTTCATTTTTCTTTAATTCTTTTTCAACAAACTCTTTTTTTCTTTTGAGGAAGATTAGCCCTGAGCTAACGTCTACTGCCAATCCTCCTCTTTTTGCTGAGGAAGCCTGGCCCTGAGCTAACATTCGTGCCCATCTTCCTCTACTCTACACGTGGGATGCCTACCACAGCATGGCTTGCCAAGTGGTGCCGTGTCCACACCCGGGATCCGAACTGGTGAACCCTGGGCCACCGAGAAGTGGAACGTGCGCACTTAACCACTGCACCACCGGCCCGGCCCCTCAACAAACAAAAGTGGAACACACTTTGAGGAAAATGAATGGGTCTTTCAGGGTGCAGCAGGATGCATTTTCACTAAGCACACACACCTTTGGAGCCACCATCCAGAGCAGAAGCCAGAGCGTCACCAGCACCCCGTCAGTCCCTTTTGTGCTCCCAGAACTTACCCTTCTCCCACAAAGATAACCGCTCTGCTGACCACCAGTATCACCATAGCTTAGTTCTGCCTGTTGTTGAACTTTCTAGAACCATCATAAGCTCTGCATGCACCCAGTATCTTTGTGAGATCCAGCCACGGTTCTAAGTATATTAGAGGCTCCTTCATTTTCTTTGCTGTAAAAGCCCAGGGGCTTGAAGGGATCCTGAGGGACTCCTGTGGTGTGTGAGGCAGCGGGGCAGAGGGTAGGGCTTCAACCAGAGTAGTCCATTCTTAGATCTGTCTTATGCACTAGGGTCCCTTGTAATATTTTGTTTATAAGAGAGGTTGTGGGGCTGGCCTGGTGGCGCAGTGGTGAAGTTCGCATGTTCTGCTTCTTGGCGGCCTGGGGATCACCAGTTCAGATCCGGGGTGTGGACGTGACACCACTTGGCAAACAGCCATGCTGTGGTAGGCGTCCCACGTATAAAGTAGAGGAAGATGAGCATGGATGTTAGCTCAGGGCCGGTCTTCCTCCACAAAAAGAGGAAGATTGGCAGCAGTTAGCTCAGGGCTAATCTTCCTCAAAAAAAAAAAGAGAGAGGTTCTACTGCGTAAAGAACACTCTTATTTTAATTAATCAATTAATTTAAATATTTATTGAACAAAAAGCACAGTTCAGAGAATACAACCCACAATTCAATTGGCTATTCATTCATTTGTGCACATTTATTACGTAATTGTTCCTGCCACACACTGAGGGTTTGAGAGCTCTCCGCTTACCTCAGGAGCTCAGCAGAGACTGGTGAGCTGTGTGGCACGCCTATCAATAGAGTGTGATGGAGGTGCGGTGACAGAGGGCGTTTGTGGGTACAGCAGGGACACCGCTGTGCTGAGTTTTGCTTGGTGCAAGTGGGATCAGGCTTCCCAGGGCTGACCTGCTGAGGGTCTGGCTGGGGGCTTGTGTGGAAATGCCTCATTTGTTGTGGCAGCAGAGCTCCTGCCAGACGTGGCGGGCCAGGAGCATGGAGTGTGGCGTGGGGAGCAGCTGCACCGCTCTGGGCCAGACGGATCGCTCCCGTCACTGCCCCGCGGCCAGCAGCTGGAAGTGGGGCTGCTGTCGGCTTTGAACAGACTAGAGGCTCCCTGGCCCAGGCTCCTGTGAGTTCCGCCGACCTTGCGTATGTCGTGTTCTGAATGAGTGAGTGAATGAATAAACTAGGTCGGCAGTTGTTGTTGTTGTTTCGGAAGCACGTGGTTATCTGGGCAGGAAGGCAGAGCTGCTTTCATGAGCCTGGATGTCAGCAATAGAATCCACCGTTTCACGCTCAGCGCCCGCCTGCTGCAGGTCCTGGCAGGGACTTGCTTTTAGCCAAGCTAGTACACCTGGAGACCCAAACTCAGGCTGCGTGCACTCCTCGGTACCAACACACAGGGCTGAGTGTTTTGGGGGCTCGTGTACATGTTTGTATGCATAGATTCCCCAAACTGCCCAGACTAGTGCTCAAGGCCCTTTCCGGTCTCATCGGCTTTATTGATTTATTCAGAAAATATTTATTAAGAAGCTATTGTGTGCTGCACTGGACTAGGTTCCTGGGGATGCAGTGGTGATCCACATGGACAATGGGGCTTACTTTCCAGAAGGGGTGATGGTGAAAAAATACTTGGAATAATAAATATATAAGTACAAATTGAGAAAAGAGCTATGAGAAAAATAAAGAGAGCCATGAGAGTTTAGAGCAGTGGGAGGAGATATATAAATACAGATATACAGCAGGGAAGGTGGCCCTAAGGAGGCAGCGTTTGAGATGAGACCTGAGGGGTAAGTAGGAGCTGACCAGGTGAGGAGTGGAGAAGAAATGTTTAAGAAGGGGATGTGCAAGATCTGAGGAGATAGGAGAAGTCTGGGGTTCGGTCCTGTCATCGTGGCATGCAGAGTCTTGAGGCCACGCTGGAGACTTTGGTCTTTGTCCTAAGATCAGATGGAAAGCAGCCATGGGTTTTAAGCAGCTGACACCACCAGAGTTTTGTGTTTTGAAAGGTTACTCTGGGTGCTGAGTGGGGAGTGTTTCGTAGCGGGAGCGCGAGTGGAAGCAAGGAGACAGGCGGCTAGTCTGGAAGTTTAGGGGTGTCGCTAGTGATGGAGGTGGATGGGTGGGCTGGGATGATGTTGAGGAAGCAAAATCAGCAGGACTTGGTAATGGGTGGGAAGGGAGATGTCAAGGATGACTCCTAGGTTAGGGGTTAAGGTGGTGAGCTCTGTTTAGGAATGTTCTTGCTGACTGCACTGCTCCAGCTTTCTCTCCACCAGCTCTTTATCCCAAATGCAGTTCACAGGTACCAGCTGCCGCTCTGGCCTTGCCCTGCAGGCCTCTTCCCTTCCCCTCCCCTCCCCGCTGAGGTGCCTGCCCTGCGTGAAGGCTCACGCTCCATTGCTCATGGCTGCCTGTGGCCCACGTCAGTCTCTTCACAGACTGCTCTGGCATGTGGGGACAATTCTGTACGTGTGGAGCCCTTTTCAGTTTATAAAAGACTTTCACATCCAAGTGTGTTCCATCCTGATCCCGAGGGTTAGGTAAATCTCAAGGGAAACCTCATTTTAGAGAGGAGGGAATTGAGGCCTAGAGAAGGGAAGGACGATGACTGAGACCACTCAGCCAGAAAGATCAGAGCCGGATTAGAGCTCAAGTCCCTGACGTCTTGTCCAGCAGTAGGTTTCGTATACTTTTTTTCATTTTTACGTGTGTGATTCTCATTTTCCAGCATGACTACACATCTTCCAAGGCCAAGAGCCGGCCCCGCTTTAGGGGAGTATGGGGCCAGGGAAGGGGTGGGGTTCTGGGTTGGCCCTGCCAATAGGTAGGGCTGTGGCCTCCGAGCCTTGGCTTCTCAGCTGTTCTACAGTTTAGGGCCTTTGAGCGGGTTACCTGCTGTAGGATATGCACAGTGTCTTCCCCGTATCTGCCAAGTATGCCTCTCCCTTACCTCTAGCTGCCAGCCCCCAGCAGTGCGTGTGTGGTGCATACTTATTGATGGAAAAATATCTTTATTAATGCCCTCTACTCCCTTTTTTCAGTTTTATGGGTTTTTTTGGCAGGTGGGAGATATGAGACCTGTCACAGGAAAAGCCGTGCTTTTCCTAAAGATCTGTAATTAGAATGCAAAGAATCAGGAGGAAACGTTGATGGTTACAAAGGGTAGCGAGGGTGGTGTTGGTAGAAGGTTCTTTCTTGTGTTGGGTGGAAAGCCAGATTAGACCAGTTTCTCTGAACCTCTTCTCTCCTTAGGTGTTGCTCTCCATCTGTCTGTTGGTCCAGATTCTATAAGGAAAGAAAGGGGAGGGGAGGGAACAAACATTTTTTGAGCTTCTCCAGTGCCCCAGACCCTGTGCCTGGCACTTCTTCGCATTTTACAACAGTTTTTTTACAACAGAAGCAGATTTTCCAACAGTTCTGTGAGGCACCAGTATTCCCACTGTGCGAAGAGGAAACTGAGGCTCAGACTAGCGGGGGACCAAGCAGGTCACAGAGCTGGGCCAGGCCGGCTCTGCAGCCCACTCTGCCTTGCTGTGGAGTAAGCGTCTGTGTTTGCTGGCTTTCCATTATTATATTTATCATTTACAATAGGGGACATTAAAAACAAAAGCAGACATATTGTCGGGAGTAAATTTTATCTCTGTAGCTTTAAAACACAAACAAAAATAATAATTCCATTAGTAGAGGAAAATTGCACCATACTGCCGAGTATAAATTTTATTGCTACCGTAACTGTAAAATACAAAGATGATAAATGAAAAGTTGGAACATTTATTATTGGGAATATATTTTATTGGTATAACTAAAATGCAAACAAACTGAGTAATACCAGTACTTGTTAAAAATTGTAGTCAGCGTCTTGACAGTGTATACGATTCTGACTGTAAAACACGAAGGTTCGATCTGGGCTGTTAGGAGGGAGACGGTGTCTGCCCTCACGGGGCCGGGTGGACGGGTGGCGTGGGGTAACAGAGTGGGCCATTTTCTAGAGGAGGCTCTCTAAAGCCCATTTGTGGTGGTTGGTGGAAATTCATGGCCAGAAAAATCAGGAAGGAAAAGTTTCTAGTCCAGAATTTTTCCAGCCCTATATAATACCTCTTGAGGGGTGATAGAAATGACCGTGAATCACTGTGAATTCCAGACAGTGCTGGTCAAGAAACGAGCTGAGGGAGTGGGGGGCTGAGGACACTTCATGGCATTAATCAGCAAGTGGCGATGGTGGCCTTAGTTCTGGCCAGTGGATGATCTGTTCTCTGCTCAGACACCAGCAGAGGGTGGAGTGAGGCCTCTCACAGCCTTTCGGCAGGGGCCAGGGCTGCGGTGGCCTCAGGGACAACAGGCTAGCATGCAGTACTCGGATCAGAGGTAGGGCACCGTGCTACAGCCAGCACGTGTGTTAGTCCATTAATTCTAAGAGGGAATCGTCTCATCTTTCAAATGAGGAAACTGAGGTGTAAGAGGCAATTTACTCGGAGTCGTGCTGAGGCCACAGAAGAGTAAGAATTTGCAAGCAGATCTGTTTAGCTTCAGAGCCCATGTTCTTTTCCAATTGTTCACATTGAATTCCATTAAAATGATCTCATGACACTGGGGCCTTCTGAAGGCTTGTTGGTGAAAGGAAACAAGATATGAATAAAGTCTTTATTTGCAGGCGACACATGTTTGAGACTTGGACAGCAAGTGTGGCCCTCTTGACTTTCCATTGTTCTCAGTCAACAATACACATGGCCTGTCCATGTGAGTGTCTGGTCACATGGCTCTTGGTTGGAGAAATTTTATATACTCCTAAAGTAGGGCATGGGAGGCTGGCGGTGAATAGATGTGTTCTGTTGCAGTTTTTCTGAGAAACCAGCTTTAGGTGGAGCCATTTCCTTTATTATTTGGCCTTCTGGAAACCTGCGTCGTTTTAGAAATCTGATGAGACCAGCTCTGAGTATATGTCTCACAGATTCATACCCGACGCTGTTTTCCTTTTGAGGAGAACCAAAATGAAAGGCGTCAGTGCTTCTGGTCCTGTGTCTGATTTTGGCGTGCCATCCCCACCACTGTTTGTCAGTGGAGAGAATGTTCCGTGGTGCCACAGCAACGTCCACCCTGCATTTTATGTTAGAGGGACACGGAGTGTGGGCTGCTTGCGTGATCTCTCTTCATGCCCTGAGTCATGGCTTGTGCTCACACAGATTGCTTGTGCTGTGTTTAGCCTGCTTCCCCCTGCCATTGGCAGAACGTGAAGCATACAAACCTTTCCTCCCTCAGATTTATTTGAGGTGCACACTGCCGCTTGCACACTGGTCTGTCAAACAGCTCTCCACCTTTCCTGCCATGGGTGGGGGTGTACTTTGTTGGAAGTTTCCTGGTGGGAAGTTCGGCAAGAGCTACCAAAAGTCTTAAGTGTGTGCTTACCCTTTGACCCAGTAATTCCTTTTCTAAGAATTGACCCTAAGGGGTGGCGTGGTGGTGAAGATTGGCAACAGATATTAGCTTGGGGCTAATCTTCCTCAGCAAAAAAAAATAAATAAAAAAAGAGAATTGACCCTAAGGAAATCTTGTATACATACAAGGATGATTTTATCTCAACACTGCTTGTAATAATAAATAACTGTAACATGCGTTGAATACTTTGTACTGGGTACTGTTCTAAGAGCTTTGTGAGTGTTATCGGACAAACATGTAAAATCACAATATAAATGTTTTAAAATAGGGGATTGATTTAATATATTACAGTACATTTCATAGTGAATTAATATGTGGCCTTTAAAAATGCTATAGATTTATATTTATTGACACCAAGGATGTTTATAGTGTATTAAGTAATAAAATCAGATCACAGATATACTGTATGGTTCTATTTTTGTAGAAAATGTCTGGAAGGCTATACACTAAAATGTGAACTTAATTATTCTGAGTGATGATATTATAGATGATTCTTTTTTTCTTAACTGTTTATATATGTATATAGTATATATATTCACACGCATATATTTTTAATTGAGATATAATTGACATAACACTGTGTACGTTTAAGGGGTACAATGTGTTGATTTAATGCCTTCATATATTTCATTATCTGTGTTTTTGAATTACAAATGTAAATTTAAAAAGAAGCTCAGTACAGGTCTGTGGGAGAAGCGACTAACAAATAGTCCTTGTCTCTTTGGGCCTATTGAAGTCTCCATCCGAATGTCACCCTTACGCATCTTCCGCTTGTGCCTCTTTTTGCAGCAAAGCAGTTGAGAGCTTAGCTGAAGGGGGCGGCTCTGAAATCCAGCGGGTGAAGGAAGATGCTCGGAAGAAGGTACAGCAGGTCGAAGATCTCCTGACCAAAAGGATCTTCGTTTTAGAAGAGGCAAGTCTGGAAACCTGCGGAAAATGTACTTCTTACAGTGGGTTCATAACGGAGTGGGCAGAGTTTTGCCCCTTTTCTCATAGATTGTCAGAGTTTCATAGGAGCCGTGCTTACTGAGCATCTCCTGGGTTCCAGCCTCCTTTCTAGGCACTTTGCATATAGAATTTATATGCTTACACCCCACAAACTAGCCATGATTGTCTTCATTCCTATAGGTGAGGACGCTGAGGTATGGAGAGAAATACTAACTAGTCCAAGTTTAATCCGAGATTTAAATTTATGACTGCTATTTTAAAGCCCATGTTCTTGCTACAAACCACTCTTATGATTTACTTTAGTCCCTTTGTTTTACAGAAGAAGAAACTGAGGCCCAGAGAGGGGAAGTGACCCGCCTAACATTAGGAACCAGATTTCCTGACTTGTGGGCCATTAGGTGCCCATGCAGCCCCCGTCCCCAGTCCCCATCCTCCACCCCACCATCCCACCATCCCACCATCCCGCCAGTGTTCATGGAATGCCCTGTCTTGGGAGGCGCTGTGTTCCTTTGACCGTGATGGGAGTCAGGATGTATCGTGGCTAAAAAGTCCTGTCTCCCCGGTGTTGAAAAGTTTCCCTGCCTATTCAGCTGGTGTTAAGTAACACTAACGACTTAATTCTCGGTCTTTGGAGCCTGTTGTTTCATTTCACTTTCTCCACCTGAAACCCTGGTTCTTCTTAGCAGATGTGAGGAGAAATGGCACCGAAAAGCACTTCTCGACACAAAAAGCAAACACATTTGTACTGTATTTTGCAGCTTCTGTGTCTTTCCCATTCACCATGTTCACGTGAGCCCTTACATCAGCCCCATGGGGGGGAATAGATGTTAGGTCCAAAAAACAGACGGGGAAGCAGGCTCCAAGAGGGTGAGAAACTTGGTCATAGGTGGTGGAGCTGAAATGAAAAGAAGAGTTTTCTGAGCTCACATTCCGAATTTTAGTTAAAATATTCTGAGACTTTTAAGAGACTTAACCTCTTGGTTCCGTCATCTTGTTTGTCCAAGTTCTTGGGGTTTGGGGGTGCCAGCATGACTGGCAGTAATGATTTGAACCCTGCCCTGTCACTTACTAGCTTTGTCACCCTGGACACGGCATTGGCCTTCCCTGAGCCTGGCTGCTTCGTCTGTAAAGGCTCAGGGGTGTCTGCTGTGCGGGAGTGATTGTGGCAGCAGCGGGACTGAGTCAATGGAGGGCTGACCACGGGGGACGCTCCCTTCTCGCTTCTTGCATGCTTTGACTTAGTCAATCCCTTCCATAAGCCTGGGAGGGAAATCCTTTTATCAGCCTTTCTTTAAAACGAAACAAAAACAAAAAACACATGATGACACAGGCACAGAGTGACTGAGTCACTTGCTTAAGGCCACACAGGCAGCAAGGCCAGCTGGTCTGGCTGCAGAGCCTGCATTGTAAACTGCCCTCTCTCGTATGTAACTTTCTAGTGTTGGGTGAGGATCGAAGATAACAGAAATGAAGCTCCTCACTCAAAGCCTGGCCTTGAGTAGGTGCTCATTACATAGGTTTAGTCGTTTCTTGTCTCAGAGTATTGGGAAATGATTCTTCCCAGCTCTCATGGATTGACAGGCAAGCCTAGTGGGGAGACAGTGGTGGGGGAGGCACTGTGAGGGAAAGGGCAGGCAGGAGGAGCTTCCTGTGATACAGCAGGCATTTGACAGTCTCACAGCAACTCTTGGTTATTCCTGTTTTATAGATTGGGTAGCTGGGGCTCAGAGAGGTTAAGTGACTACCCAAGGTCACACAGCAAATAAGTGGGAGCTGGGGTTTGAGCCCAGTTCAGTTTGACTTTTATCTTTGTGATATAATCAGAGGCGTTTGGCACAGGTAGCTGGAGATTCACATCTACTCCCAGCTCACTTTCCTGAGCACCAGGGCCTTTTTCCCTCACAGAGACACTGTCTGCATGATTTAGATAATTTCCTTGTGGGCTTCTGTGAGCTCTCAGGAATAGCATAGAGTTTTTCACCACCTAAATCACCTTGGAGATAAAGAAAATGTGCTTTAGAATTGCGTAGTCATTATCTTAAAAAAAAAAAATGGTGAGGGGGCCGTGGGGTGTGGGGTGAGTTTGCATGGAGATTGTGGTGGCTCTTTGGAATGTGTGTATGTTCAGGTACTGAAAGGCGCATTTCTCCTTGTTCTCACTGAAGTGGTAAATATCGATATGATTTTTCAAAACCAGGAATACAGTTCTTGTAGAGTTGGGTCTTTTCCATTGGAAATGCCTGTTACTCTTCAGGATACAAGGGGGAAAAATGGCTGCACATGTATTTATTACTGATTCTCCCCATGTATAGTACAATTCAGGGAGGGGAGAGGTGCCGGAGAAAAAGTCATAAATATTTATATTTTAATCCAATTTCCTTTCAAAATGTTCCCAATTATATTGAAAAATTGCATCAAATGCATTTAATTTGACTCTAGGATGTGAAAGCTGCCCAAGCGGAACTGGAAAAGGCCTTTGCAGGGACAGAAGCGGAGAAGGCCCTTCGGCTGAGCTTGGAAAACAAGCTTTCCGAGATGAAGAAGATGCGCGAGGGGGACCTGGAAACAGCTCTGGTCCTGGAAGAGAAGGACAGGTCTGACTCTTATCCCTGTGACACTGTAGCGTTCATCTCTCTGGCAGCGCGGCGAAAGAACTTCCTTCCCTTCTTTCCTTCCCCTCCCCACTTGTTTCCCACAGGACTTAAGTGACTTACCAGAACATATCCAACACAGTAAGAAAACTAGAGATAAAGTCAGGGTGAGGGAAAAGGGATAGGAGAGTGTTAGAAGGACAGATATAAGTTAGTAAATAGAAATTCATGGTGAAAAGTTCTACTCAGGTACTAGATTTAGCATTCTGTTTTGGCTGTAAGCTTCCTGGTAGCCAAAGGAAAAAGGGAAAAACAATCTTGGTGGACAGAAGTTTCACACTGTTCACAAGAATAAAATAAACTAGTAACTCAGGAGAAGCCTGGTCTTACTTGGCGTTGCCAGAGAAAAATTTCTCTTGTGGATCTTCCCAAAGGGAACAGTAAGTGACTACATCCCCAGAGAAATACTAGTGAGTTTTGTGTGGCCTGTTTTCTGTCATATCTTTTAAAACAGGCTGAGGGCCCAGATTAGTACAGTTCAAGGGGCCAAACAATATAGGCCAAGTACAGAGCTCTTTGATGGCCCAGGAATAAAATGTGTGCCATTTAGTCCAGAGAAATGCATGGATCATGTGGCTTTAGGCAACCTTTAATGTTCATTGTGTCTTGCAACCAAATTTCTGATCAAAACTGGTTAAGAGAGAGTTGAGGTTTTATTCTTTACCACAAACCTTACATTTTGATATCCTTGCCTTGCTTTGGCAGTTACTAAGTGGAAGCCTGAGTTAATTAAATATCAGTGAAACTGCTGGTTAACCTGTGACCTTTCCATTGAAGAGCCAATTCCAAGCATGTTTGGAGTTTGACAAAAGTTGTTGTAAGCAAACCATCTGCTTGCCTGCTTCCTTAGATACAGGATTCTGCCTGCAGTTCCTTTTTCTCAGTTGCTCGGTATCCCCTGATCGCTGGGCCTGACATGTTGTTGGGGTGCTTGTGCCCAGTTGCCCGGGCTCCCCAGCTGCTGTTCACTTCTATTTCTGTCTCGGTGACAACTTTTGAGGTTCGAGTCTGCTGCTTGTTTTCATTATGGGTGGGAAATCAGGTGAGCAAAAGTTTGGGATTATCTTTAAAAGAAGATCAAACAGACCCTGAGGGACAGCCCGTGGTCTCTGTTCATAAGTGCCCCAGCTTCAGCATTTGGAGGAGCTAGCACTTATTGGACGCTCTGCAACCTTTTCTTAGCTTTGATCTGGAAAACTGAAGTTTTGGGATTAATCTCAGGCTGGGGTAGGAAACCGAGTTCTCCGTGAGGGGTAGGACCCCTGTGCTGAGTGAGTGAGTGTTTTTCTTGATGACATGGCTAGGAAGAGAGACCTCCCGGACGTGTGCCTTGTTGCTGAGCCTCCCCTTCCGAGGACCAGCCTTTCCAGACACCGTCCCCAGAGAGGTGGAGTCTGGAGACTGAGAGAAATGATGGAATCTGGAATCTTTCCACACAAATCATTTCTACCTTGCCTTCTTTTTCTCCCAACTGATGAGTGGCGAAGCCCTTGGAAGGCTTATGGGCTTGTCTTTCCTGAGAGTCCCCAGCAGTTAAACTGGGAGTAGGGGGCCCAGGGAATAGACTAGAATGTGTGGGGCGGCCCCCGAAGAAGAAAAGACAGACGGAGTTCTTGGCCCTGTGAAGGGCGTGGGAGGGTCTGGGGTGGGTTTGTGAGGAGGTCCTGGGAGAGAGCTGCTCGGAAAGGCCCTGCAGGGTCCCACGGGTGCTCAGCGGTTCATTCATTGGGTCTGTTGGATCAACAAATATTTCCTGAGCATCTTCTACTTCACTCAGTGTTGATTAGAACATAGGAGTGAGGGGTACAGACTGGGACCCTCTCTTAAGGAAGCTCATTGTCAAAATGTTTTTTCTTGAGGAAGATTTGCTCTGAGCTAACTGCTGTCAATCCTCCTCTTTTTGCTGAGGAAGACTGGCCCTGAGCTAACATCCGTGCCCATCTTCCTCTACTTTATACGTGGGACGCCTACCATAGCATGGTGTGCCAAGCAGTGCCATGTCTGCACCTGGGATCCGAACCGGCGAACCCTGGGCTGCTGAGGCAGAACATGTGTACTTAACTGCTGAGCCACCTGGCCGGCCCCTCATTGTCAAAATTTAAGCTCAGCATCTAGCTTGCTGGCAGGAGTGGAGGGCAGGAATAGAGATAAGGGCTAGATGGGATAAATGCTGGGTCCACACAACCTATTTCTCTAACTCAGTTTAGAGGGATTAGGAAAGGCTTCCTACAGGAAGTACTAGAATAAGGAGAAATGACTTGGGGGAAGAAAAAGTGTTGCAGGCATTGGGAACTGTATATCTGTGTGACAGTGCAGAGGCCAGAGTGCACGCAGCAGGGTCAAGGAACTGAAAGAAGCACAACAACATGATGCGGGCTCGCTGAGCCGACGAGTCGGAAGAAAGATTGCTTGGACTCTCAAGGCCTGGCAGTAGCGCTCTTTCATTCAGAAAATAGCAGGGAGTAGCATGGGGACAGGTCCCATGGGCAGTAAAGAGCTACGAACATGGGTTGAAGGTAGGGCTAAATTGAAGGTGTAGGTATGTGAGTTATCTCTTTACAAGACAAAGGAAAGATTATATAAAAAAAAGTCATTAAAATGGTATCAGTGCAGGTAGGGTCTGGTTACTGGGTGGTCCTATAACTTTAGGTAAGAATCAGATTGGATCAGGTCAGAACGTCCCCTGCTTCCCGAGGATGATATAGATGGTACGTAGGGCAGGATGTCTTGAGCTGCTCTCCCTGGGCAGCCGTGATCCTCATCAACTTGCAGAGTGTCCTGCTTTGGAAGGGAGGCGGGAAGAGACGAAGACAGGGAAGCTGGAGCAGACCTTGTGGGCCTTGTTGAAGAGTTTGGGTCTTGTCTTCAGGGCATATGAGAAGCCACTGAAGAGTTAAGGCTGGGAGTCGGGGGTGGGGGTTGGGGGATGACAAGATCAGACATAATTTTAGAGAGAGCCCTCTGGAGGGTGGGTAGGCTGTGGAGTTTACTGATAAGATTGGTTCTCAGGCTGATGCAGAAGTCCAGACAAGAGACGGAGGTGATGAGGACCCAGAGGACAGAAGTAGGGGTGGAGAACAGGCAGAGATGGTTAAAAGGTAGAATTGACAGTGATGGCTTGAAGGGCTTGATGGCTGGTGGATTGGAGGGAAAAGGCTGCAGGTAACCCCTCACCCAGGTTGCTCACGAGCAACTGTGGGACGGTGGCGCAGTTTGCTGAGTTTGGGGGAAAAAGGGAGAAAGAAGAGATGTTTTGGGTGGAGGGGGTGGGAAGATGAGCTTTTAGTTGGGATGTATTGGGTTGAAGGATGTGGGGCATCCAAGAGGAGAGTCCAGGAGGGGCTTGAGTATATGCATTGATTAAGGCCTGAATTAAAGGGCTTACATGAATGATACAGATTCATTGTTAACCAGCTACTGAGCATGGCCTCAGGCTGGGTGTCAGGAATGCAGAGATGAACACTGTCTTCCTTGTATGGAGCTCCCGGTGGTGGGGAGGGGACAGATGTAAGGAACAAAAAGTCAAGATTTGGTGCTAGAGGTAAGTTCAGGGTTCTGGGCTGTGATCAGCTCTGCTTGAGGGTGGAGCAGGGTAGGCTTGTCAGAGGAGGTGCTGGGAGCTGGGATGAGGAAGGCTTGCCCTCCCGAGGGAACAGCACATGCAAAGGTGTGGCTCCTGGCACATTTCAGGTGATCACAGGGAAGGGTGGTCCCTGTTCACATACACTGCAGAAGCTTGGCGTCTCGTCTGTGGAGGAGGGAACTTGGGAAGTGTTAATGCTCATGGAGTATTTACTGTGGTCCAGGTGGTGGGGTCTCCATGGATGTGGGGGTCTGGTTAGGGCCTTGCTAAAGGCTGCATCTTCCTGGGGTTTCCCATAGGTCAGAGCTGCGAATGCATGTGTCTCTCAGGGGTAGATCTGCAGCCGCCAGATGTCTGCTCTGGATTTCTGCTTGCTTAGGGGGTGGCCCTCGCTGTGGTGGAACCAGGATCAGTGTTCCAGGTGGAACCCTGCCTGAAGGCAGCCCTGCTCAGGAGGCTAAGGAGGTCAGAAGGTGAATTACTAAGCACAGAATTGGAACAGGGGTCCCGGCGCGCCTTGGTGAGATGGATCCAGATCTGCCACACAGATTGACCCGCTGTTGGGCAGACCCTCACTAGGGTGGGCACTGCTGGTGTCTTTCTGGGCTTCTGGGCTCCCACCCCCCTTTCCAAAGGTATGTGCTTTCCCTACTTAATTTCCTTCCATCTGACCCGAGAGCTAGTCTGTATCTTTCAGGCAGTGACATTGTGGAGCCCTGCAGGTTAAATATGGCCAACAGATAGGGTTTATTTGGCCCACGCAGTGCTTTTAAAAGTTTGAATTAGTGGCTAGTATTTAAAAAAATCTATTTTCATGTAAAAGTCTGCATTTCCAGCTTCTTTTGAAACCCTGGAAGATGTGGCAGACTGGCCGTGGTCTTGCTAGGTTGAGCTGCTGCCTTAGATGGGCCCGGTGCTCCAGCTCGGCCACAGTCCCCACAGGCTGCCCCACGCGTTTCCATCCCTATCTGGAACTCGCTGAAACAAATCAGTTTTAGTGAAGTGTAGGTTACATACTTCACAACACATCCATTTGAGCTTGCAGTTTGGTGACTTTTTACCTCTCCAGTTGGTTATGTGGTGATTTCCGAGTTGAACCCCTCGAGAACAGTCTTACTCCTTTTCCCAGTTTTGGGAGCCTTGCACTGGTGCTGCCTGGTACCCTCTGTACCCAATTGTCTTAGTCCATTTGGGGGGCCAAAACAAAATAGCTTACAGACATAGAAGTTTATTTCTTACGGTTCTGGAGGGTGGAAGTCCAAGATGGAGGTGCCAGCATGGTTGGGGCGGGGGGGACCCTCTTCCTGGTTGCAGGCTTCCCATTGTATTGCACATGGTGGAAGCGGTGAGGGATCTTTCTGGAGCCTCATTTACGAGGCACTGCTCCCATTCTTGAGAGTTCCACCCTCATGATCTCCCAAAGGCCCCACCTTCTAATCCCATCACTTTGGGGGTTAGGATTTCCGTGTATGAATTTTGGGAGGACACAGATATTCAGACCACAGCACAGTGCATTGCTGGGTGCTTTCACTGCTTCCAGCTCCCTCCTCCCCTTCACCTGGGAGCGAGGGAAGCTCTCAGACTTCCAGTTCCAAGCCTTTGCTCTTTCTACTGAACGAGCTTGCTGTCTAGTCTTAGGTACAGAAAAGCTCTTCTGAGCATCCTCTGACAAAATGCTGAAGGTTGAATGTTAAAAAAAAAAAAAAAGTAAAATTATATCGGCTGTCATTTGTTAAGTTCTGCCATGTGCCTGGAACTGTGTAGGGCCATTTTAAATAGCTTATCTCCAATGACATAAAAAGGTAATCCCATTCTATACTGAGGAAATGCAGGCTCAGCGAGGGTAATTAACTTGGCGAGGTCAGAGAACAGCTGATGTGAGGTAATTTGGTGGCCCCGAGAAGGCGGTGTTCAGCTCTACCTGAGGGGACCCTAGGGGTGTGGGTTGGCAAAGATGCCTTGAGGGGAGGAAATGCCTCGCTGACTCGGGTGGATGCTGGGTGTTTATCAGGTGGAGGAGAGTTGTGAAGGGCATTCTAGGTGGAGGGACTAATGTGAGCAAAGGTCTAGAGGCACAAAACAGCCTGGCTTCTGGGGAGAATGGGAAGTGAGGCTCCTGAGCAGCGGTGGAGCGGGGACAGCTATGTGTGAGAGGTGAAACAAGCTGTCAGCAGGGCCTCTGACCTTCTAGGCCCTAAAAGCTGAGGCTAGAAGGCCTGGCTCAGGAGTTGAGCCTTTATGTTGAAAGTTGGTGTGTTTTTGAGTTTGCCCTGAGAAGCCCGGGAGGGACGTGCTCTGTCCTTTCCCCTCACAGAACAAGTCCGCTTTATTGGGCGTGCTTGTTTAGGCTTCAGTGCTGGATTCCTTTTGGAGAGAGGATTTCTTGGCCTAAAACATTGGTAATCCACTGCTGTCGACCGTGGGCCACTGGAAGTCTTCGAGTCGGGGTGTGCCTCCAGCAGACTAGTCTGGCAGCTCAGAGGTTGGATCGCCCGGGCCCAGGCTAGAGGCGAGGGGACGGTTAATGGCGCACGAATTCTGGCCCTTAATCTCCACCCTGCAAAATGCCATTGCGTTTCTGTTCAGTCAGTGGACGTGTCTACTTTGAAGATGTCTGGCCCCGTTTCCTACCTCCTCCTGCTCCTCTGAGCTAAGAGAACAGCTTAGAATTAATATTTAAATTTCCTTCTCTTTTAGACTGATTGAGGAGTTGAAGCTGTCTTTGAAGAGCAAAGAAGCTTTAATTCAGTGCCTTGAAGAGGAGAAATCTCAGATGGCATCTTCTGATAAGAACGTGTCATCTGGAGAGCTCCAAGGACTTTCTGCTGCTCTAAGGGGAGAAAAGGAGAGCGAAACTGAGGTGAGGCGATGGGACTTGAAGGGGTGACTTTAATTAGCAGACCGGACTCCTCAGTGGGAAGTGGGATGCACTTCAGTCGCCAAGATTTGCACACTGTCTACTTCTAAATATTAGCTCCCTGTCAACCTAGGAATTAGCAGAAGCCTCCTGTGTCAGGGGCCCTGGCGTTTTTCTTTTCCTTCCAACCTCGTGTTTGTATAAAGAGTTGGTTGAAAAAACACTTCACATTTGCTTGCCTCTGTTTTGCCATGTGTTAGTTCGTTGTTGCCCGGGGACTTTATTTTCATCCTTGGGGTTTTCTTAGGATAAGTAGTGGTACATACCTGTTTACCTTTGTGGTCAGAGGCAGGCTTGAAGCCACCTTTGGTCTGGAACTTCAGAGGCAGTGAGGGGAGGGAACTGACTCACATTGGGCCTGGCAGCACGCGAACGGCTTCAGCATGCCACCTCACTGAGTCCTCCTGGCCACCTCATGAGGCAGAGATCACGGTCTCCTCATCGAGTTTAGAAGCAGGCTCAGAGGAGTTGTTATATTTTCCCAGGCTCCAAGAGGTGGGTTACTAGTGCCAGACCCCACAGCTCCCTGGACCCCTCCGCCACACTAGGCGGCCTCCATGTGAAGCTGTGTTGAAAAGGGTGGGCAGGACCCAGAAGTGCAGGTGGGCCTAGTCGAGACCTTCCAATTTGTGCTGGACCAAGGCAGTTGCTCCTGTGGTACATTCACATTACGGGATGTTCTGGATGTTCGTGGAAAGTCTTGATTTCTTTATGGAGGGGTCTCCTTTGTCCCGACCACAGCAGTGAATTCTTTTGCCTCGCCGGTTGGTGTTCGGCTGTAATCAGCCCTGCCTCCTGCTCCTCCGTTTAACCCTCCTCTCACCCCCGGCCCTGTCCTTTAGCAGGCTTCTTCGTTGTCCTGCTGCTCCTCGGTTTACTTTCTCTGGGGCTGGTGATAACCAGTGTGGGTGGCTTGTCTTTACGTTTTTCTTCACTCCGGTGGCACTTTGGGTGAGACAGAGAGAAGGAGTGGACACTTGTTTCCGTGAGTTCCACAGCAGTGGGGAGCAGCGAGTGAACGAGCTGCTCACTCTAATTGTTCTGGGGAAGCTGCTGGGTTGTGGGTCCCTTCTGCGCACCAATGACTGCCATTTCTTAGGCTGCACAAATGGAGCGCCAGAAGGAGAGGAATCACTTTGAAGAGAGGATCCAGGTATGTTGATAAAATTTTTAAAAATTTTCCAAAGATTTATCTTCGCCTCTTGCTTTATTCTGAATGCAATAGACAATTCTGTGTGACAATAGCTGTCATTCCTTGAGTGCTGCTGTGTGCCAGTCAAGCTGTAGGTACTTTAGAGAAGCTTTCTCAGTCTTTGCAATGACTCTCTGAAGCAGGCATTCCCATTTTGCGTATGTGGCCTGTGAAGCTCAAAGAGGTGAGGTCCCTTACCCAAGGTCACGGAGCTGGGAGAGGTATAGCAAGGATTCAGACCCGCCAGTGTGATTCCAGAGCCATTACCATGGCACCCCAGCCACAGTAGTCGGCACCTGTGCAGCGCCTGCCAGCTTAGAAAGTGCTTTCCCGTCCATTATCTCGTTTGATCCTCACAACAGCCCGGGAGCGAGGCAGCAGTGATTATCTTTGGAAGTGAACTCAGACTATAAATGTATATGTTCAGTCTCCATCAAGCCAAATTCTCTGCCAGCATTTGTAGCATTAAGGAATGAAATTAATGATCTGTTATTTCCCCCAAATAACCCGGTGCGGTTTCAGAGACTCTGATGTGACTGTATTCAAATTCCAGAAGGCATTGGAGTCCTTCCCAGAGGAGTAGCTGTCGTCGTCTTAACTGATCTGCTCCCCTCCTTTCACCCAGCCCTGGTGCCGTGAGCGGGAACACGGGAACTTGGAGCTGATGCCACTGCGTTCAGCTCTACTTGGAAACATTAATCACAGGTTGACAGGAGTGAGATAGAATAACTGCGTTTGAGTGTGCTCTTAAAGATATATTTACAGTGCGTTTTGGTTGGAACGCATCAACTTAGTGAATCTTTTTCTAATCTAATTTAGGCACTTCAGGAGGACCTGAGAGAGAAGGAAAGAGAAATTGCTACAGAAAAGAAAAATAGTTTAAAGAGGGATAAGGCCATTCAGGGTCTAACCATGGCATTAAAGTCAAAGGAAAAAGAGGTATGTCTGATAGTCCTGAAGTGAAATTTTTCTTTATTAGCTTCTGTGACTGGCCTGTCCTACCCTGAATTTTTAGCTTCAGGGGAAAGGTTTATGAGAGCGCTGAGATGAGTATAGAAAGTATGGAAGGGGTCCTTTAGTCCATTGAAAATTCTTTTTGAAGTGTCTGATCCAGTGCTGTCCAATAAAAATAGAACGTGAGATGCTTACGTAATTTTGAATTTTCCAGTAGCCACATCAGAAGGAAAAAGAAACAAGTGAAATTAACTTTAATAATACATATGTCCTACATATGAGCATTTCAACATGTAATCAAGGGAACAATAGTAGTAATGAGGTATTTAACATTCTTTAAATCTGAACTTTGTCTTTGAAGTCCAGATGTGCTTACAGTGCATCTCAATTCAGACTGACCAAATTTCAAGTGCCCAGGGGCCATAGGGGCTATTCGCTGCCATATTGGACAATGTCTAATGTTTTGAAAGACAACAGAAGATTGAGATAAAAGAGTTTGGGAGGCAAGGCCACGACTGCGGATAGTTAGATAGCTAGCTGGGTTGTTGCCTGTTGGGACCCAAGGTTGTGGCTGGTGGTTCCATGCTGTCATCTTGTCATTAGTATAGCAATCTGTCGTAGGCACAGATGCAGAGAGGAAAGCCCAGCTCTGCTTGCAGTCTAGTGGGGAAGAAAGGCAGAGTGAAGGTGGTGTGAGGGGGAAGGGCAGGGGCTGTGGAAGTGGAAGGAAGGGGCCCTAATCCAGATTAGAGTGTGTATATGGGTACCGGGGAGTGGCGCTTCTAGGAGAAGGTATCTGAGCGGAATCTTAGAGGATGAGTAGGAGTTAGTTGGGAAGGGAGGCAGAGACAAGGAGGCCATTTCATACAGAGGGGAGAACACTGGTCGAGGCAGTAAGTTAGGAAAGAGCCTGATATGTGTTTGTGGAACCAAAAGCAGTTTGAGGTTGTCAGAGCATTAAGTGAGGCGAGAGAAGGAGCTGGAGAGGTTGCACGGGCCAGCCGGTGGTGGTGGAAACCTAATCACACTTAGCTGCTTGGGTGGCAGGCCACTAAAGGCTCTGAAGCAGCGGGGGGATGATCCCATTTGCATTTTAGGGAGATCTGTGCCTCTGTCCAGAGAGAGGACTGCGGGAAGATGAGCACGGAGGCAGGGAGGCCAGTAGCTGCGCCAAGAGCCACCTAATTCAGAAAGGCTGAATTAGAGCAGTGGTCACGCCAGTAGGAAGGGAGGGGTGGGCTCATTCAAGAAATAAAATTAGAAATAACTGAAGGTTAGAAGTAAATTTGGGGAAATTTGATGATTAGATGTAGGAATTGAGAGAAAAAGCAGTGAGGGATGACTTTTAGGTGTCTGGCTGGCACGACTAGGGATATGGTGGGGTCACCAACTCGCTTAAAAGTGTAAAACGTGGAGTATGATGGCAAGATGAGGATGGTGATGGAGGTGATGAGTCTGTTTAGAAAGTATTGACTTTGAGGAGCTTGTGGACCATCAAGGTGAGATGTCCAGGAGGCAGATAGATATGCCAGGAGTCCAAAGCCTGGGGAGAGCTCAGGTCTGAAGATGTAGATCTGGAAGCCATTCTTATACAGCTGTGCGTTACAATTCTAAGAGTTGATTTACTTATCCAGGAGAGCGTAGAATGGGAAAAGAAGGCTGAGGATGGGACCACAGGGGGCTTCAGAATTTCAAGTACAGGAGGAGGAATGCCCAGAGGAGACAGAAGGCCTGGTTGCAGAAGGATGAAGCTAACCAGGAAGCTGTGGTCTTGAAGAAGCTGAAGGAGGGCAAGAGTCTGAGTCATCACCAGTGTCAGGTGCAGCAGAGATTGGGCTCACGTTAATAGTAGTTATACTTTGTATCGTGTTTTGGGAGTTCAGGGCCCAGCTGAAGCTGGGGACCTTCAGTACATAGTGGCACCAGTGATGGAGCAGTTCTGGGTGCTGGCAAAGTCCTAGGTGTCACCATGGTAGTTCATGTCTGACCCTGGTGTAGGAGAGGGTCACTAGAAGATGAGGAATCCTGGGACTAGCCAGGCTAGACTGTTGGGTGGGTCATCTATATGGACAATAATAGTAACACTTTGTACGACCCAGGCATCATTGGCGCCCCAGGACGCATTACCTCATTTAACCCAACAGTGCTGTAGTTGGGTGGGTGGTGGTATCCTCGTTTTGTAGTTGAGGGAATTAAGTCTCAGCGTGATTAATTCCAAGGCTGAAGCCATCCAGCTAGTAAACAGCCAAACTAGAGACCCGACCTCTCCGACTTCAGGCCTTGTCTGACTGCACAGCTCTTGATTCTAAGTGCTGCACATTCAGCAGGAAAAGCACGTGGGCTGTGCCCGGAGAGGAGAGCCCATCTGCGCACTTGACTGCTGTTCCTTATTTTCGCCCAGGTTGAAGAACTTAACTCTGAAATCGAAGAGCTCACTGCTGCCTTCGCGAAAGCCAGAGAGGCCCCCCAGAAGGCGCAGACCCAGATCTTCCAGGTAAGTGTTCACTTGGGTCCAAGTGGCTGTCTCCTTGATCTTCCGCCTGCTGAGGTCAGGACTTCTCAGCTGCAAGGAACCAAGGAAAACTCCAGTGGTCTTTGGTAATCGAAGTAGCTCAGTCTAATTAAAGGAAATCCTCCACCAGCTTTGGGGGCTTCTCCAGCCCCCTCCTCAATGTGACAATGATAATGACGACAACTAACCCTGTTTAGAAGGGCCGAGTTTACTCTGTGCCAGTAGGAGACTGTGCAAGATGTGTGGACTGTCTCATTTAATCCTCACGACCCTGTGGGGAAGGTAGTTATCATCCCCTTGTGTGCAGGGCTTTTGAAGCTCAGCGAGGGTATGCTACTTATTCACTGTCATACAGCTAGCAAGTGGTTAGGCCAGGATTTAAACGTAGTAATTGCTAATAATAACAGCTGGCATTTATTGAGCACATACTATGGGCCAAGTCGCGTGCTAAGTGCTCTCCATGGATTAGCTTGATGAATCTGCACAGCAGCTCCGTGAAGTAGCCACTGTTAGTATCCTTCTTGTACTGCTGAGGAAACCCTGGCTCAGAGGTTCAGGTACCTTGTTCAGGGTCACAGAGTGGTGAGCGATAGAGCCTAGGATTGGGTCCCAGGGCCAGTCTCACTCCCAGCCTGTGTTTGTACCTGTCACCCATACCTCCCCCACCTGGCTTCTTCACTCCTACCTGCTCCCTCCCAGCTTTCTGGTCCAGGCTTTCATGATTTGACCTGCCTTTTCTCTTTTGTCCCCCAATATTGTACTGCAAGGACTCCTGCTGGTCATCCCCTTAATCTTCCTTCTCTCTTGCTAATTTTAGTTCTGTGTTGTTGTCTGTTTTAACATTCCCCCCATGTTTCCCAATACAGTGTGTACCTATTCCTGATGACCTAATGAGTCAGTAACATTCCACCGTCTGAATAAATACATACTGCTTTCAGCTTTCTCCTTCCACCCCCTCCACCCATGCTGTTTTGGGTTATAAATAAAGTAGAAATTAGAAGTTAAATCTAATTTAGGACTGTTTGATTCTTAAGATTCATATCCCATGCTTTATCTTTTGCAGAACTTTGGTTCACACTAAGAATAATTGAAGTAATTTGGTTTAGATCATAGTGTATTAGAAGCATAGACAAATTTCTGCTTTTAGAATCTCAGGCTTGCCTTCCCCACCATTTTGACAGTGGTTGATAAAATGGAGCTGAGATTACACTTTTCACTGAGTTTTTTTTCCTTGCTTAGAAAATAACAAGCTTTAAAAGCTGAATTCTTAGGAAATCCATCCATATTTCCCATTGCTTGAGAAAAAAAAATACATTGGCAATTGACAAGCAGAGAGACCAGACATCCTTATAAGTGTTGTGATATTTTACTTGTTATGTTGGGCCTTGAAGGAGAGAAAGTAATCTTATACATTTAAATGTTAGCCAGATTTATTACATACATTTATTAATTTCATAACCCTCAGTCCTAGTTGAAAGACTTTCAGAATGACTTCTGAGGTCTTGTCATACACAGTGTTGGCCAGGTTTCATGTCCTCAGTGCACAGAGGTCAGGAACTGTCGAAACTCCTCCGGTGCTCCATGCCCGGTTGGCTGTTCCAAGAGCGCTCATTTAATCCTTACCCATGGTGGGGCGTGTGTATCAGTTCGACTGGTTGCTGGGACTTGAACTCAAGTCTGACTCCAAAGGCTGTGTTCTTTCCCCTGCTCTGATTGCGTGTGTGAATAAATGCACACGGTGCACTTATATTGGTTATTTCATTATGAGGTATGCATAGTTTGAATGTTGCATAGACACTTGAAAATGCATTTTCTTTCACGTATTAGGACCTTTTTGGGATGTCATATGATTTGAACTGATTGCAGCCTGAGTGAAATAGCCACAACTCACAGGGCTGGCATCAAGCCTGACACCGAAGCAACAGCAAGTAATATTCAAACTCTTGGAGCATTTGTCACAGTGCAGAGATGTGAATTCTAATCACAGATGTGACTCTGTCTACACTGTGGGCTGGCTGTACCCATTGAAAAAATATATTTTTTTACCCCTTTAAAAAATACATTTTCAAATTGGAAATAGCATTTTTCTTCCTCCTTTCCCTGCCTGGCTATAAAAGTAAAATTACACACTGTAGGAAATTTATAAAGTACTTAAAATAGTGGAAAGAGGTTGATAAAAATCACCAATAAACTCATGTCTTAAAGATGTTTGCTGTTAACATCTTGACTCTTTCAATGCATATTTATACATATATACGTACAACCTTTGAAAAATTAAAAATAAGATCATAATATGTATTTTGTTCTCTAATTTTTTTTTTCCCCATCTAATGTTCTTGCCATGGCAGTATATGTAGATCTACCCAATCTTTTTTTTGGTTAATTTTTCTTTTGACATAGTTGTAGATTCACATGCAGTAGATTTCTGTATACCCTTTGCCCTTTGTGTAATAGCTTGCAAAACTGTAGTACAGTGTCGCAACCAGGACAGTTGATATTGGTGCGTCCATTGGCCTTAATTCAGATTTCAGCAGTTTGACTTGTACTCATTTGTGTGCGTGTGTGTGTGTCTGTCTCTGTGCTTTTTAAACAGTCTTCTTAAAGAGCGGCATTTAGTGCATTGTATGGGAGGAACATGGGCAGACGTGGACTTGAATCCTGACTCTGCTCTTCACTGTGTAACTTTGGGCAAGACGTTTGCGCTCTCCCAGCCTGCTCGTGCGTTGTAAAATCTGGATAATCAGACTTATGGCACATAATCCTTACAAGGATTAAGTAAGAAAGTATATCAGGGCACAAGCAGTAACTCAATAAATGTTAACTCATCCTTAAATTGAGTAGTATAATCTTCTGGCATTAAAAATAGAGTAGTTACTTCGGTCTGTTTTTCAAATTCTCTACTAATGGTGTTACACACATAGCTTTTAGTCTGAGGGGCTTCTCCGTGTTACCTTTCAATTGAGATGAAGGATAATGGAGTCAGTGGTGGAACAGGGGAGCTAGATTTATTTGTTCCGCAGCCGCTGCAGCAGTACTCTATGCATCACGTTCAATCTTCACAACAACCCTGTGAAATCGAGATCCTTCCTTTCACAGATGAGGAACCTGAACTTCGGAGAAGTTCACTTCCCCCACGTCACACAGCTGGCGCTGCTCTTTGAACGCTGAGCTCTCTGCCTCTCTGCCTGATGTAGAAACATGACGGTGTTTCTGCACTGTGGGGAAGGATGATCTGTTTAATATTACATTTGGCCTTCAGTTTCTGACCGTGTCTAACTGGGCCAGACATTTGCCACTGTTTATAAGCACCTAACTGACGAACTAGAATTCAAAAAAGCAGGGTGTCATGCAGAACAAGGTAAAGAACTCTCCAAGGAAGTTTTGCAAAGGGCCATTTAAGGAATATTTAACATGGCAAGGATTTTTATGAAGGGAATAGAATGTATGAATTTGAATTCTTTCAGCTTGGATTTTTAAAGAGGCTTTGTCATCGTTATCTGCATGATAGTCCTGCAGAGCTTTCATCACTTTATAATAACTATTATTTTAACACTAACCATTGCTGTCCGATGTTTAACAAGCTCTTAATTGGTGTTCTGTCTCTCGCCTACTCTCCTTGAATTCAGTCTTCTTGTTTTAATTCTCGGTAGTTATTGGTGTTAATTGGAATCTTCACTGGAATGGGCAAGGCAGTATAGGGCTGTAGAGAGAACACAGGCTCCAAATTATTTGAATCTGATTTAATCACTTATGGTCTGATGACAGGCTAGTCATTTAACAGTTCTGAGCCTCACTTGTTTAAATAGGGATAGTAACCTGTACTTTGTAGGGTCGGTATGAGAAACAGAGATACGTTGTGTGTGAAAGTGCCTGCTGTAGCTCCCCATATATAATCAGTGTGTGATGAAAGATACCTGTGAAATTGTTCAAGTTGAGCATTGTCCCAATCATCGTTTATCTACTTTTGTTTTTAGAATTTATTTAAATAAGCACTGCCCCAGATACGTTTTTTTTTTGGCCTGTGACCTAGGTTTCCCACTTCTTTTTATTTATTTTAATTTTAAAGGAAACTAAAAGGCTTCTATAAAACCTACTTTGCAATTTGAATAGAGTTCTCCCTCAGTCTCTGTTGCTGTGTCCTAAATAGAAACATGGGCCCAGATGGCTGGGCTGTAGGTGGGCCAGGAACAGCCGAACCCCCTGCCCCTAGATTAACTAGGTTGTAGCCCACCTCTCCTGAACAACTAAGACTTAACTATCGATGGTAGTGGAGATGGATTTTCTGGAAAGGCCAGGGAGCTGGGGCCAGTCCCTTTACTCCAGTCCAAGTTGTGACCTTGACAGCTCAAGTGTCCCTTGCTTTTGACTTTTTTTTTTGAGGAAGAGTAGCCCTGAGCTAACATTTGCTGCCAATCCTCCTCTTTTTGCTGAGGAAGACTGGCCCTGAGCTAACATTCGTGCCCATCTTTCTCTACTTTATATGTGGGATGCCTGCCACAGCATGTCCTGACAAGCGGTGCGTAGGTCCATGGTTGGGGTTCAAACTGGCGAACGCTGGGCTGCTGAAGCGGAATGTGCAGACTTAACCTCTGCACCACTGGGCTGGCCCTGCTTTTGATTTTTTAATCTTAAGCCTCAGTCTAATTCAAAGAAAAGATTTTTTAAAGTATATTTTCTCCTGATTAAAAGTATTATATATATATGCTTCAAATTTTTTTTTTCGGAAGACTAGAAAGAAGAAAAAACCAGAAAATCACCCAACCACCATTAGCATTTTGGTAGTTTTCCTTCCAGGCTTTCTTCTATGCATGGATTTTATTTTTTAGATCAGTTATAATTTGGTCTTCTGTTTTTTCATATAGTATTGTGAGTTAGAAGTCTTCCCATATTATCAACTCTTTGTAAATATAGTTTTAAGATTTCGTTGTGTGGCTTGACTATACTTTCCTTATCCATTTTCATATTCTTGCACATTTAGGCATTGTCTCGTATTTTTTTACTGTTCTAAGTAATTCTGTGATGAATGACTTTGTGTATAAGGCTTTCCCTCCCATATTTTGGATTCGTCCTCTGAGACTGAGTCCTAGGAGTGGAATTATTTGGATGAGTCTGAACATGTTTATATTGTATACACACACTTGATATGTGTAGTCTGTCCATAGGGAGTTCTGTCAGTTCACAGTCCTGCCAGCATATTTCCTGGCTTCTAGATGCTTGATCAGTTCTTGAAAAGTGAGTATTCATTGTGCCATTTCACAATAAGCTTGCCAGCACTGGATATTCTCATTAAAACAATCTCACTTGTTAAATGAGAGCTTGTTTTAATTTACTCTTTTTTTTTAATATAATTTTGGAGAGTTTTTTTTTTTTTTTGAGGAAGATTAGCTTTGAGCTAACTGCTGCCAATCCTCCTCTTTTTTGCTGAGGAAGACTGGCCCTAAGCTAACATCCGTGCCCATCTTCCTCTACTTTTTATATGTAGGACGCCCACCACAGCATGGCGTGCCAAGCGGTGCCATGTCTGCACCCGGGATCCTAACCAGCAAAGCCCGGGCCACCGAGAAGCAGAACGTGCACACTTAACTGCTGCACCACCGGGCCCGCCCCCAATTTACTCTTTTTGATTATTGGTGAATTATAACATTTTTTCATATGCTTGAAGTCACATATGTATTTTCTCTAGCAAACTGTCTGTTAATGAAATAAAGATGTTCTTGACACATTTAGCCCTCGGACTCTGCCCAATTTATAGCCTTTCAAGGTGACCATCAGGCTACCAAGCTGACCACATCTTTTTCTCTAGAGGACTGTGGGTTTGAGCCGTTCTCATGTAGATGAACATGGACAGTGCTTGAATCTCTCTGGTTTGAAGTGAAGCTCTTCATTCTACCTTTTTAAAATACCTTAATTAAATTGTTTTTAAAAAAACCATTATAGAAGTTATGTTCTCCCTAACCTTAGAGCATTTGAAAATACAGAGAAGTGAAGGGAAAAAATCAACTATGTTCCCACCCCACTAAAGGCAGTTACTATTAACATTCTGTGCTTTTCCTTCTAGTCTTAAAAATGTATGTATGTATTTTACATAATCGTAGCCTTTCCTCCCCTGAACATCAACATCATAACATAAATATCACCTTAAGTTATTTCAAAATCTTCATATTATTTGTGCTTTGAGTCCTGAATGTTGTTTATGTTAATAATCTTTTTCTTTTCCTTTTATCCCCCCAAGGTGGAAAAGGAGCACAGGTTTCTTGGTTTGTTTAATGAGCCGTGAAAATCAGCTCTTGTCCCCTCTCTCCCTCCTCTGCTAGGGGTCTGAAGATCAGGAGGCTGCTCTGTTAGAAAAGGCAGCCCTTTTGGCTGAGCTGCAGGCAGAAAACCTCACCAAGAGTACGGAGAACCACAGACTGCGCAGGAACGTTAAGAAGGTCACCCAGGAGCTGAGTGACCTGCAGCAGGAGAAGGAGAGACTAGAGAAGGACCTGGAGGCAGCCCATCGGGAGAAGAGCAAAGGAGACGCCACCATCCATGTGAGCAGCGCCTGTTCCCTTCTGAAATAGTAGGCAGTGTGGTCGGGCTGGGGCTGTTCAGCTGTTTCTGGTTTTAGGGAGATGTTCATTGCAGAAAACTTAGAAAAATCTGAAAAATAGTAAGAAGAGAATATTTCAGTCATCTGCTCACCTAGAAATGACTAGTCTTAACTATTTGATGTTTCAGTCCTTTTATACTGTCTCTCGCTCTCCCGCCCTCCCTCCCGCTCTCCCTCGCTCTCCTTTCTGTCTCCCCCACCCCCCCCATGTGCATTATTGGTATCAAGGTGAAAATGCAGTTTTGTATCCTTTTTGTTTTATTGAGTGTTCTCTCTTTGGTGTGTTGCCATGTTATAAATGTTCTTCAGAAACATGTTTTGTGTGTGCAAGCATAACATTTCATCACTTGGATGTGCTACAGTTTATTTAGCTAGTCCCTTATCGTAGGACATTTAGGATGCTACACTTTTTTTTTTTTTTTTGCCTTATAATGAATGCTGCAGCAAACATCGTTCTACATAAATATTTATCCACTGATTGTTTCCTGATCAAGGTATAATTACTGGGTCAGAGAGTGTGAGTGTTTTCAAAGCTATTTTATAGATAATCCTCAAATTGTTCTCCTGAAAGATTATACTAGATTATGTGAGGGTGATCTTTTTTTAAGACTGCTCTATGCAACATTGGGTGTTAGCATTTAAAAAATTCTCTCTCAATTTGGTAGGCAAAATATAGAGGCAAACTGTAGGTTATCTTTTATTTATTTATTTATTTTTGAGGAAGATCAGCCCTGAGCTAACTACTGCCAATCCTCCTCTTTTTGCTGAGGAAGACTGGCCCTGAGCTAACATCCATGCCCATCTTCCTCTCCTTTATACGTGGGACGCCCACCACAGCATGGATTTTGCCAAGTGGTGCCATGTCCGCACCTGGATCCGAACCGGCGAACCCCGGGCCCGCCGAGAAGTGGAATGTGCGAACTTAACCGCTGTGCCACTGGGCCGGCCCTAGGTTATCTTTTAAAATTTCTTTTATAGTCATGTGCTGCATAACAACGTTTTGGTCAATAACAGAACGTGTATATGACAGTGGTCCTGTAAGATTAGTACCGTATAACCTAGGTGTGTGGTAGGCTGTACCATCTAGGTTTGTGTAAGAGCACTCTATGATGTTGGTACAGTGGCAAAATCACCTGACGACGCGTTTCTAAGAACATATCCTCGTCATTAAGCGACGTATGACTGTATATGTAAACTTAAGGATTCAGTGTTGACACTCAGGGATCGTTGACACTCAGGTCTTGACACTCGTATTAATTGAATTACCTGCCCAGGAGCCTAGGGCAGGCAAAGTGAGAGAGGAGAGCTCAAAAGAGCCCACAGGTACTAGAGGTTGGTTCTCTGGTGCCTGCTGTGGGTGGGGATGCCAGGATCCAGCGTTTGAAATCCTGATGCCAGTGCTGATGAGAGAATTGAAATACAACTGTTTATAAATTTTAATGAAAATTTTAATGAACATTAAGAGAGTAGTAATGGAAATTTAGAAAAATGAGAAAATGTTACCTACAATTCCACCACCCTAATAAAGTAACTGTTTTGCAGTATCACTCTTCCGGCCTGGTACAGCTGGGCCCCCAATCTCATCAGAAGCTAAAGACCCTCTGTGTTCTTTGATCCTTTATCATGGGCGTCTCCCAATGTCACTTAGACTATTGTGGGCATCTCCCCCTGTCACTTCCCCTGTCGTGGGTGTCTTGCCATGTCACTTTCTCTATCGTGGATGTCTCCCCATGTCGCTTCCTCGGTCATGGGTGTCTCCCCATGTCACTTACTCTCTCCTGGGCATCTTTCCATATTGTGTAGGCTCCAGAGTGATCATGTTGAATGAGGCATACTCTTCATTGAGTAGATTTCACACAACTTACTTAATAATTTCCTCCTTTGTTGGACATTTGGGCAGTTTAGAGAATGCCACAATGATATCTTTGGTCATAAAGATGTTTTCTCTTGAAATCCTCAGGATAGATTCTGAGGAGTGAGATTACTGCATCAGATGGTGCAAATATTTTGTACTAGTTAATCATGCTGCCAGATTATTTGTCCAAAGGACTGGCCCAATTTATGCTGCCACCAGCAATATTGGAGTGTACCAGTTTATTGCATGTTATTAAAAGACTTGTTTCCTATGTTTATTCAAAGTTATTGAACACCAAATGCTCCTGATTTAGATGTTGATGGAAATACAAGGTATGGCCTCTGAAAGTTTTATTTTTCTAAGGGAGATGAAAATGTTATACATGACAAAATGCGCAGTTTAAAATCTAGAGCTAATTAATATAGCTTATACAGATAGTGCAAAAGATCCTTGTGGAATGGAGTAGTCAGGGCGACCTAGGAGGAGATGACGCTTGAGTTGAACGAGCAGAGTAAGATTTGAGTGGTGTGCCTTTATGGATGAGGTAAAGAAGACTGGCTGGAGGGTCCTTTTATAGAGGTGCAGTTTTCATGGTCAATTCTTACATCCTTCACTGTTGGATAGCAAGTTTTTTAGTTTAAAATAGTTTGTCCTGTCTCTCTGCCACTGTCATAAAAATGTCCATTCAGTAGAATTTGGATGGGGGGATATATGTATATATACACACGCATATCTATGTATATATGTTATGTAATTGTTTTTTACATTATAACTTACTCTTGGTAAGCTTTTGAAACAGCTACGTAATATTATATCAAGTGGATATGCAGTAATTTACCTATCCCTCTATTGTCAGACGGTGTTTTTTGGTTCCATAATTCACTTATTCATATAAACCCTGGTGCTTCTAAAATAATTTTGGGCTGCTGTGATATTAAGATGTATTCCTATATAACATCTTCATAAGGAGGCAAGGAACATTCGGCAGGGACTGGAAGGGGGGACTATTACAGTGAGAGGAGAGAGAGGGTGAAGTATACTATGAGTATGAGTTCTTTTGCCGGTGACAGAAACCCAGCTTGGAGTAACTTAGGCAAAAAGGGAAATTTATTGCCTTGTGTAACTAAACTGCTGGAAGGATGGCTGCCTGGCACAGTGCCAGGACCGAATCTCTGTCTCCCCGAGAGCTGGCTGCTTTTTCTTGCATCCGCTTACTCCAGTTCCAAGTGGTTGGGCCCATCATTGGCAGCCCTGCTGGGATCACATCTCCCCAGTTTATTACATAAGAGGTAGGAGGACTCTCACACTCCCTGTCCTTGCTGTCTCCCTGTCAGGGTGGCCAGGGGGCTGAGGTGCTGAGAGGCCCGACTTGGGTCATGTGCCCGTTCTTCTTTATCAGAAGTGTGTGTGTGAGGCCCGACTTGGGTCACGTGCCCGTTCTTCTTTATCAGAAGTGTGTGTGTGAGTCCCATTATTGGCAGCCTCCTCTAGAGCCACGTTTTAGGCGGATGAGCAGTTAGCCAGAGACAGCACTGTTTGGTTTCGTGGCACTGGGCAGACCCAGACAGCTGTGCGCTCTAAAGGCTTCCTTCAGGTGAGCATGCCTGTGACTCAGCTTCCTACCAGCTCATCAGGGCTACTCTTCTACATCTGCTCGCATGGATGTTTCTAACACGATGATTTGGCCATGGTTTCTTTCTTTTTGCACATGTGTTGCACACAATGGTATCTCTGCTTAACTTCTGGTCATATTCTAAGAATCTGGCTGCGTCCATCTCATATGAATGTTTCACACCAGATCTTGAGGCACTGGCTTGTTCAGAATCTGGGGAAACACAGTGGGAGGTGTTTTAGCCTTATGGTGCTAGGGTGAATGCAGAGGTAGAGCAAAGCCCACTGGCCTTGAATGTCTATCAGCTTGTTCTGTTAACCAGCCTCTTTAATTATCTAGAGCCTCCCACTCACCAGCTGCTACTGCTGTTGCTTTTGGATTGAAACAGACAAACAAAAAACTAGACCTTTTAGCGGCTCTGTTTCTGCCCTGGCAGGGGAAAGGAATCCATTCATGCAGTCAGCAACGTTGAGCACTTTGTGCAGTCCCTGCGCTAGGCATGGGGACAGTTCCACAGTAGAGATATGAATAGAGGACCACGGGAGCCCAGAGGAAGAAAGGGGCTTGCGGGATCAGAGAAGGCTCTTGGGGAAAGTAACTTTTGAACTGGTTCTGAAGTTTGAGCTAAAGGTTAATAGATAGGCAAGGAAGAGAAGGGTTTTATACAGAGGGTGAAGGGGTATGAGTATGGTGTTTTTGGGGAAACAAAACAAGATTACCAAACTTGACATATTCTGGTTATTTGAAACTTTAAAAATTGTAATTTATTCCTTTCAGTGTTTCAGAAACATTTCCAGAGGTTTATAGAAATTCATAAAATTCAATGAGATTAAAAATAAAGATAAGGGCATTAGGGGAAAATAAGGGTTTGACTCGTACGATGGAACCAGAGGGAGTAAAGTAGAAACGCACACTGTGATACCCTGCACAGCACTCGAGAGGGACTTAAGATTCAGCCCGTAGCTCCTAGCAGCAAAAGTAAAAAGGGAAATTCAGTCACAAGGTCTCCAGTGTCTGTAAGATGAACACGTTAAGATAAAAGGACAGCTTTTGCTGGCACTCCGGCCTGAGGGAAGTATTGCCTCTGGTGAGTTTTAGAAAGAGTTCTCTGAGCAGTATACAGACTCTTCAACAATGCCCTATTCAGTGAAAGCAATCTTGCACGGGGCCAGATCAATGTCATCCAAGTCGGCCAGCTTGTAAGTATTAAGGTTTTCAGTCCCTGCGACTGTGTCTAGCTGTTTCCTATTATTCTTGTTTCTTGGACAAGAACTGCCAAATCGGTGGGAAATACTGCAGCCCTGTTTATAGATGAGCCCTGACTCAAAGCCTTTGTAAGGGTCCTCTATCAAGGGGTTTTTGTAGCGTTCGCTGGATTCATTCTGATGGTAAGCCGACCGGTTCTCTTTTGGATGTGATCAAACCATCCTTTGCTCATGCCAGAAACGTTTATTGCAGTCTCATTGTGCCTGCT